CTGGGCATGGTGGCGCATGCCTGTAGTCCCAGCTTCTCGGGAGGCTGAGGCAGGAGAATTGCTTGAACCCAGGAGGCAGAGGTTGCGGTGAGCCGAGATCGCGCCATTGCACTTCAGCCTGAGTAATGAGTGAAACTCTGTCTGAAAAAAAAAAACCAGTAAGGAGGTAAACCTTGTATAAACAACCCCCCAATCCCCCTAAAAAAGGAAGAATGGCTGTAGCCTCACAGGATAGAGTTAGATAATGCCATTCCCCTGCCAGCCACTAGTGGTCACTGTCAGACCAGGAAAGCTTGGTTGCTGTCTTTCCAGAGAGTTCCTGATGAGGCAGGGTTACAACTAGTTATTTGAACACGTGGGGTGACTTAAATGTGGACTACCTCCCTTCATAGAATTTCGAAGTGCATAATGTGCTTCTTAAAGCATTTAAAATTTCTCTTTCTTTACTTTCTTTTTTTTGAAACAGCCTTGCTCTGTTGCCCAGACTACAGTGCAGTGGTACAATCACAGCTCACTGCAGTCATGATCTCCTGGGCTCAGATGATCCTCTGCCCTCGGCCTCCCAAGTAGCTCAGACTACAGGCACATGCCACCACACCCTGCTATATATATATATGGTTTTTTTTTTTTTTTTTTTAGATGGAGTCTTACTCTTTTGCCCAGGCTGGAGTGCAGTGGTTTCATCTCAGCTCACTGCCATCTCCACCTCCTGGACTCAACCAATTCTCCTGCCTCAGCCTCCTGAGTAGCTGGCATTACAGGTGCGCACCTCTACGCCTGGCTAATTTTTGTATTTTTAGTAGAGATGGGGGTTTCACCATTTTGGTCAGGCTGGTCTCAAACTCCTGACCTCAAGTGATCTGCCCACCTCGGCCTCCCAAAGTGCTGGGATTACAGTTGTGAGCCACCACGCCCAGCTGCTAATTTATATATTTTTTTGTAGAGACCGGTTTCACCATGTTGCCCACGCTGGTCTCAAACTCCTGGACTCAAGCAATCCGCCCACCTTGACCTACCAAAGTGCTGGGATTATAGGCATGAACCAACGTGCCCAGCTGCATTTACATTTTCAGTGTAAGGTTTCCTTCAAGTACATTTAAAACTTTTGATTGGAGAAAACTCATTGATTTGGTCTTTAATGTCTCTTAACCTGATACATCCATTACCTCCACTTCACACAGGGAAAATCCAGTCGCTATTAGGAGCAGGGGTTTGGTTTTCTTGTCTGGCGCAGCTCTATGGCACTTGGTAGAGCTTGCAGTGAGTAGATGGAGTGAAAAATACCTTGCCGGTGTTAATAAAAGCTAACTTTCTTGCCTTCTAGTGAGGACATCTTAAAGTCTTCCATTAAAGAGTAATTCCTTTGGGTTTTGCCTTGCCCTTGCCTGGTTCTTGCTTTTAAAATGTTAATGCTCTGCAGGAAAATTTTTGCATTAAGTCATTAACTCCTTAGCTGGGGACTTTATTTTATCCTTGACTTCAGCATCTGAGCTAGGCAAAAAATGGAGGATTCTGAAGTAGAAACTTGGCACTGAAAATGGGAAAATGACTGTCTCTTCATTTTTCCTGGCTGCTGGCTATGCCTGCTTCAGGTGCTTGTTAAGCCCTTATTGAATGAATGAATGAGTGAATGAATGAATGCATGCAAAGCTGCTTGGCTATGGATTTGAGCATCACAGGGATGGAGTTTAGGGGCATAGCAGCTGACCTCCTGAAGCCCGGAAGTCCCAGGGCAGAGAGGAAGTGCTGGGTGGGTGGGGTGCTCGGTCATGACTTGTTCACAAGTCCCTTCGTCCTCCACCCTAGCTGCCAGAGCTCAGGGAATAGCTGAACCCAGGTTATGGTTGGTGGAAGGGAGGGAACTGAAAATTCCATGACAGTTTTTTCCTTTGCCATAGCTAAGAAAAGGGCTGACAAATGGGCTTCATCTCATTTGCCTCTCTAGCCAGTTGAAATGCCTCTTAGGACTTCTGTGTTAAGAAGGATTCCGAGGTCCAGAGAGCCTCATGGTCAGCTAGCACTGTCTCGCTGGGTTTGGGATGGGGGAAGCAGCACCATGTTTATTGGAGTCTGACCTCGGAGGACTAATTTTGACCCTTTTCCTTCCTTCCTTTGTCCCTTTCTTCTCTAGGGACCCGACCGGAGCCTGGCCTGGGAGCCAGGATGGCCATCCACAAAGCCTTGGTGATGTGCCTGGGACTGCCTCTCTTCCTGTTCCCAGAGGCCCGGGCCCAGGCCCAGGGCCATGCTCCACCGGGCTGCAGCCCAGACCTCAACCCCCTCTATTACAACCTGTGTGACCGCTCTGGGGCATGGGGCATTGTCCTGGAGGCAGTGGCTGGGGCAGGCGTCGTCACCACGTTTGTGCTCACCATCATCCTGGTGGCCAGCCTCCCCTTTGTGCAGGATGCCAAGAAGCGGAGCCTGCTGGGGACCCAGGTGTTCTTCCTGCTGGGGACCCTGGGCCTCTTCTGCCTCGTGTTTGCCTGCGTGGTGAAGCCCGACTTCTCCACCTGTGCCTCTCGGCGCTTCCTGTTTGGGGTCCTGTTCGCCATCTGCTTCTCCTGTCTGGTGGCCCACGTCTTTGCCCTCAACTCCCTGGCCCGGAAGAACCATGGGCCCCGGGGCTGGGTGATCTTCACCGTGGCTCTGCTGCTGACCCTGGTGGAGGTCATCATCAACACGGAGTGGCTGATCATCACCCTGGTTCGGGGCAGTGGCGAGGGCGGCCCTCAGGGCAACAGCAGTGCCGACTGGGCCGTGGCCTCCCCCTGTGCCATCGCCAACATGGACTTTGTCATGGCACTCATCTATGTCATGCTGCTGCTGCTGGCTGCCTTCCTGGGGACCTGGCCTGCTCTGTGCGGCCGCTTCAAGCGCTGGCGTAAGCATGGAGTCTTCGTGCTGCTTACCACGGCCACCTCCATGGCCATCTGGGTGGTGTGGATTGTCATGTATACCTACGGCAACAGGCAGCGCAACAGTCCCACCTGGGATGACCCCACGCTGGCCATCGCCCTCGCCGCCAACGCCTGGGCCTTCGTCCTCTTCTATGTCATCCCCGAGGTCTCCCAGGTGACCAAGGCCAGCCCAGAGCAAAGCTACCAGGGGGACATGTACCCCACCCGGGGCGTGGGCTATGAGACCATCCTGAAAGAGCAGAAGGGTCAGAGCATGTTCGTGGAGAACAAGGCCTTTTCCATGGATGAGCCGGCGGCAGGTGGGTCTCCAGGGGTGCCCCCCAGGCCCCTTTCTCCATCCCATATCTTTTACTGCAGGACAGGGAGCCAGTCTCTTGAGCAAAAGGGAAGGTCCTTGAGGTTTTCTGCCTAAGTGTCTCTAAATTCCATTTATTTTAAAGATTTTTTTTTTTCATCCAGGCACGGCAGATCATGCCTGTAGTCGCAGCACTTTGGGAGGCCAAGGTGGGTGGATCACTTGAGACCAGGCTGACTCACGTGGTGAAACCCCCGTCTCTACTAAAAATCCAAAAAAAATTAGCTGGGTGTGAGTAGCTGGGCATGGTGCTGCACGCCTGTAGTCCCAGCTACTTGGGAGGCTGAGGCAGGCGAATCACCTGAACCCAGGAGGCAGAGGTTGCAGTGAGCCGAGATTGCGCCACTGCACTCCAGCCTGGGTGACAGAAAGACCTTGTCTCAAAACAAAGAAAAAAAAATAGCTGGATGTAGCAGTGCGTGCCTGTAATCCCAGCTACTCAGGAGACTGAGGCAGGAAAATCACTTGAACCCAGGAGGCAGAGGTTGTAGTGAGCCAAGTTCGAGCCACTACACTCCAGCCTGGGTGACAGAATGAGACTCTTGTCTCAAAAAAAAAAAAAAAAAAAAAAAGTTTTTTTTCCATGTTTGTATAATTCATGCACATATTCTTACTGTAAAATTTCAAACATTTCAGATAAAATGGAATTTTCCCCAGCTGCCTCCCCAGTCCTACCCATCCCATCCTGTCCCATATGCAGAAGTGACCGATATTGACTGGTATAATATCTATGTGCCTCAGTTTCTCCATTTGTAAAATGGGGATAATAACAGTACCTATTTCATAGGGTTCTTGTGAGGATTAAATTAATTAGTGCCGGCTGGGCGAGTTGGCTCACACCTGTAATTCCAGCACTTTGGGAGGCTGAGCTGGGTGGAGCTTGAGCCCGGGAGTTGAGACCAACCTGGGCAACATAGTGAGACCCCTGTCTCTCCAAATAATTTTTTAAATTAGCTAGGTGTGGTGGTGCATACCTGTGGTCCCAGCTCCGTGGGAGGCTGAAGCAGGAGGACTGCCCGAGTCCAGGAGGTCGAGGCTTCAGTGAGCCATGATTATACCACCACATTTCAGCCTGGATTATCTTAAAAATAAATTGCTTAGTGCCCAGCTCATGAAAAGCTCTCTTGAAGCATTAGCTATTTGCTATATGTGTATAACTATTATTTTACATATTTTACTAATGCTATTGTTCCAGAACTTGTTTTCTATTATGTATGTATCCATAATCACCTTAGTTTTCTTTAAAAGGAAGTATTTTTCAGTTTATTTTTTTCTTTTTTTCAATTTTTTGAGATGGGGTCTTGCTCTGTCACCCAGGCTGGAATGCAGTGGTGCGATCTCAGCTCACTGCAACCTCCACCTCCCAAGCTCAAGCGATTCTCCTGCCTCAGCCTCCCCAGTAGTTGGGAATACAGACGCACGTCACCACACCTGGCCCATTTGTGGATTTTTTTGTAGAGACTGGATCTTACTCTGTTGCCCAGGCTGGTCTAGAATTCCTGGTCTCCTCTTGAGCTGTGGCATCCCAAAGTGCTGGGATTNGTAGAGACAGGGTTTCACTATATTGGCCAGGCTGGTCTTGAACTCCTGACCTCAAGTGATCCACATGCCTTGGCCTCTCAGAGTGCTGGGATTACAGGCATGAGCCACCACACCCGGGCTTTTTCTCTTTTTAATAAAAACACTTGGGGTGCCGCATAGTGGTCTCAGCAGCACCCCTGTTAGCTGTGCAGCCCACTAGCATTTCCTCAGCACCTGCTCTAGGCCAGCCCCTGTGCTAATTCCCTTCCCGGTATGGCCCGTTGCACGAATCTCACGTGCTCTTCCTCAGCCTGCTGGCTGCAGCCCCTCATCTGACATGACCTGGAAATCTGAGGGCACCATCTCAAAGCCTTGACCCCGCCCCCAGACTGTGATGATCTGGAGGCCTGGGGGCTTAAGACTTTCTTAATTGCCGTGTTAATGGGGCTCTGGGGCCTCTGCTTTGGGGCCTCTGCCAGGAGGTCAGAGTCAGGCTGCTGCAGAAGTTCCAGAATCAGAGACATTCCTTTCTTTTCTACAAACTGTGAAATCCTAATAATCCCTGCTTTGGGGAAAGAGATGACCCTTGTCCTGCCAGGCACTTGATCTTTATCTGCCCACCTGGGGAAGGCGCTGGCTGCACCCCGGGGTGGCCCCTGTCGAACAGAGTGTGCATGGGGGGTGGAATTGGCAAAGCCCACCGGAGAGGCGGGGCTTATGGACAAGTGCTAGGAGGAGCCTCTGGCCCCGCCCCCACACAAGTGCCTGTCAGGGCCAAATGGTTCTGAGCGTTTGGGGCTGAGTTTTTCCTTTTTTTTTTCTAAATGGAAAAATCAATAGAGTGAGCCCAGCACTTAGGAAGCTATATAGGTTGCGGTCCCTCAGAGCTGGGGGACTGTCGGCCCTGCCGGAGCCAGACATCCGCTGTGCTGCCCTCCCAGCCAGGCCAGTCCAAGGTCCCTGGTGGGTCTGCAGCCCTCCTCAAACACCCTGGGAGTGCCCAGCAGGGTGGAACACATCGGGAAACCAACACCGCAAAGGCACAGGGAAGTATCCCTGGAGCTAAAAATAGTTCTGGAGACTTGCCCCGGGGGCCACGGTATGGGACTGCATTAAGGCTCCCTGGCCGGCCTCTGGGTTTGTGTAGTGGGGAAGGGGCGCCCAGGGAGGACATGAAAAGGCTTAGGCCGATGGGTATCAGATGATGTATTTACCCCTTCGCCTGGCAGCTGGCCCGTGGTGACAGGCAGAGCTGGAGGCTGGCCATCTTGGAAGGCAGCCGAAGGCCCATGTGTCCTCTTGGCCTCTGGCCCCAGAGGGCGGATGGGGATGTGGAGGTTGCTGACAGAGCATTTTCTGAGCTGTTGGGTCCGGGGCTGGGGGCCTACATTGCAGGGAAGCCCACAGTGTCGTTTCCTCCCGTGCATCTATACAAAGGGGTGTTGGGCTTGGGAGGGGCCCCGGTGTTCACAACCTCACCCCCAAGTTGGCCACTCCTGGGTTAGAGACTATGGCAGGGTTGGCCTATCCCCTCTTCCCTGACCCCAGAGAGCCTTGCTTGCCTTGCGGGAGGTGGGGAAGAGAGCTGAGAGCTCTGGGATCTTCAACTTGTTCCTTGCAGCTAAGAGGCCAGTGTCACCATACAGCGGGTACAACGGGCAGCTGCTGACCAGTGTGTACCAGCCCACCGAGATGGCCCTGATGCACAAAGGCCCGGTGAGTGGGTCCCCAGGTCCCCGTGACGCGGCTGGGCTACAGAGCACAGCCTTAGCAGGTCGGCGTGAGAGGGCCGTGTGGCCGGAGCTGGGTTGGGTGGAAGTGGTGGGGGAAAGGCAGGTTTCTCCATCTGGTGCTTCCACCAGCGAATCCAGAGCCCTAGTTCTCGACTTCCTTCTCCAGGAGCCGGTGTGCCCACCACCTTCAGTTGCACTGCAGTGGGGCCTGCCCTGTGTCACTGGGGCACCCACTCAGGTCGTGTCTGGATGCTACAGGGAATGCTGGGTGAGCTCTCCTTGGTGGGAGCTGCCAGCTTTATTCCGGAGAACCTGGGGAGGAACAAAGGAGGGTCTCAGCCAGGTGCTCCCAAAGTGGACACGGGACCAAATGTAGCAGGTCTGGAGAGGTGTTTGTTTACTTCTGAACCACAGCTGTGCCAAGGGGGCCCGCGCCTCCCCTCCCACTCCGGCAGGCAGTGAGTCTCGACCTTACACCTCCCCTGGGTTCTGGAAACCAGATGCTCTGTTAGCAAGGGGGGGAGCAGGAAGACAGTGGGTTGGATTCTACTTACTCCTATATGTGTTCCTCCTCCCGGCTGGCAGAGGCTGTGGGGAGAAGTCAGTGACCCTTCTTGGCAGGACGCTGGGAACAGGAAGCGAGGAGGTCAGCCGGGTGGCGTTCTCATCCCCCTCCCGGCCCTCTCTGTGAGAGCCCCAGGGCAGGGGGAGGCGAGTGTGGCTGAAGCTTCCAATCCCAGCACCTCCCTGCTCCCTGAGCCTGAACCTGAGCCTGGGCAGAGAGTTTCCCGAGGACCAGGAGTGGAAGCTGCGGGCCGCCAGCCCTGGGGGCGTAGGCAGCCACAGAAGTCTTTCCTGAGTGGCTTCCCTCACCGCCATTGCGCCTTGCTCCCCAGCGTGTTTGGAGTCGGATTCCTGGGGGATGATGTGTACTAACAGGGAGATTTTATCTGACTAGTTCTCAAAACATGGTCCCCGGCAGCGATAGTCTCACCTGGGAACCTGCTAAAAGTGCAAATGGGGGCCGGGCGCAGTGGCTCACACCTGTAATCCCAGCACTTTGGGAGGCTGAGGCACGTGGTTCACTGAGGTCAGGAGTTCAAGACCAGCCTGGCCAACATG